CTGGTAACACTTTACAATAAGGTAAACAAAATTTGCTTAACTGCTAGAGAACGCCTCAGGAACGAATCAGGAGCTAATGGGTAGTTAACCTGTAATTACTGAGGAACACACAGCCAAGTCTTATTAGAGGACTACTGCTTAGTTACCTTGTAAATGAAGAACTAATGGGTATTTACCAAGAAAACTAAAGAGGAACGAATAAGGAGCTAATTGGTAGTTAACCAATAGGTTTACTAAAGAGAAAATTCAATGAAATCAGTAACCACTAGGAAACAGGTTTTTGACAATTACGAGCTGTGACCTCACTGGTGCAGGGTTTATTCAGAACCCAAATGGAAAATTTCTCCTCTGTTTCTGTGGTAACAAGTCAGTAGTCCCCTAATAATACTTGGCTGTGTGTTCCCCAGTAAATACTGATTAACTACCCATTAGGTCCTGATTCATTTCTCTTTGGTTTCCATGGTAACCACCCATTAGTTCTTGATTAGTTCCTTTTCATTTAGAGGGAACTAACCAGTAGTCCCCTAATAAGGCTTGGCTGTGTGTTCCCCAGTAAGTACTGGTTAACTTCTCGTTCGTTCCTGAGGTGTTCCCTAGTAGTTAAGCAAACTTTGTGTACCTTATTGTAAAGTCTTACCAAAAAACGGATAAAATTAAAGTATCTAAAGCAAAGCAGAGTCTTATAAGAGAGAAATGCACAAGTTTCCAGTCCCGCCATTTCCGTTTCAGATAAATCTGTCGATCTTCAGCTATAGCTCAAACTGGATATTGACTTTTCTTCCCCTCTGAGATAAAGTTAAAGACTCCTCCTGAACCTTTAGCTGACATGTGGGGCTGGTTCTGTTCTTTGAGGCTGCAGAGCGTTCTGGATAATGTTAGGTAATTTGGTTCCGCATTTTAGTTACTGTATAATAACAAATTCAATTCTGTTTTGTTTCTCCTTTTACAGTAATGTGCTGAAATGCAACATCTTTTTCTTTTTTTTTTTGGTGTGTTCAGTGAGACTCAGGCTGCTTTATTGTGCCATGCAAATCACAAAATAACGAGCTTATACTACAACTTTATATAGGCTCAAACTCTGTTATGTTCATTCATCATGACAGAGTCAATGCAGTGATAAACGTCAGGCTATGAAAACTCTCCTTTTAGGTAAACTGTTGATGACGCACAAACTGAAATCACTTGAGCTGCAATGGATTGTTGTATATTTAGACAATGTAACCGCCGTATAAGTTGCATCAGTCCAAAGATGTCTAATAAAGTGGAAAAAACAAATACATTGCTTCGCCGTATACGTTTCATCTATTATGCGTCACTGATGACAACACGGAAACGTGGGCCGGTGTGCCAAAAATTGATTGGTTGCCAAATGGTGACCGCGGAGGACTTTAACAAGATTAGCACTTAAAAACAATTATTTGTTTGCTCGAAATTATATCAAAGGTGTGTCTCAGTTGAACTATTCCTTAAAAAATGCACTTTGACAGTCAAATCAGCTGCATTTCAAAAGCCGATTCGCGTGCAGAGGGAGGACTCGCTGCGTATTTCGTCAAAATTTAACAAGATAACACCTAAAACAATTATTTGTTTGCTCGACTTTATAGTCAAAATGTGTCTCAGTTGAACTTTTCCTTAATAAATGCACTGTGGCGGCGCGGCGAAATGCAGCTGATTTGACATTTGCTCCAGGAGTTCCAGAGCAAGACCAAGGTGGCTCGGTATGGCAAGCCAAGTGTCTCATTAATAGCCAGTTTTACCTATTAATGAGACACTTGTCTTGCCATATGGTTGAGGGCCCTCTAGTGGCTGAAAATGGTAGTGTTCAATATTTTCCATGTCAGAATGAATGAAATCGTCAGATCTGAGCCAAAAATTGGGTTATAAATATGGGAAAAAACATAACTATGTCGCTTCGCTGTCGCATGCATGCTAATTTATGTAAAAAAAACTGTGACTTATACAGCAAAAATTACAATACTTTGATTAACGTAAAATAAAATCTGTATTTGTCTAAAATAAAATATATGATTTGTAAGAGTTTTTTTTCTCATTCTACTTTGTCTCGATGTCTTCTCAGGCTGGCCATCCTTCTTCTCCACCCCGTCCTCTGATGTAGACCCCCCCTCTGTCACCCTGGTGTCAGAAAAAGACAAGGACAACGCCTGGCTGTACACGCTGGACCCCATCCTCCTCACCATCATTGTGATGAGCTCGCTGGGCGTCCTGCTGGGAGCCGTCTGCGCTGGGCTGCTCCTCTACTGCACGTGCTCGTACAGCGGGCTGTCGTCGCGCTCCTCCACGACGCTGGAGAACTACAACTTTGAGCTGTACGACGGGATCAAGCACAAAGTGAAGATAAATCAGCAGAGGTGCTGCTCGGAGGCGTGAGGAGTGATGGGGGAAGTTGTGATCTTCTACATAAAGGATGCTTTTTAAAGTTTGGACATCGTGAAAAGAAGCACTGTCCCCCACCTGAAATCCTCCTTTTGCTCTGATGTCTAATGGGGTAAGATTCAACCTCACCCACTTTTTATGTGCCAGGGGGGGACTTGTGATCTTCTCCCCTACATGCTTTGAGGCCTAAACCGAGGGAAGAGCCGACCCCGGTCTCCCGTGACTACAGTCTCATTTCTCCTCTGCCTGCAGGAGAAAATCTGCTCGATTTTAAAAAGCCTGAGTGAATGAAGGAATGAATAAAATTATATGACTAACCTACAGCAGAAGACCCACCAACCACTGGGATGAAGATGCAATGGAGATGGACTACATCTCCCAAACGATCTGGACATTTAAACCACAAATGGCAGCGCAGTCTGGGATGTTTACTGGCTGAATAAAGACTTTGCTGTGTACTTTACAGAAGAGACAAAGATCTTAAAGTTCCAGCTTCTGATTGAAGACTTCTCCACCAGTGGTCCATGTCCGTGGGTACTTCTGACTCAAATCAGCACATATCAAGTGAATGCCTATTCCTCTAAATATCTAAACAAGATGCCGAACCCACACAACTCAAATGACTCTAGATTTCTAAAAATTGGAAGAAAAAAAGGTGAAAAGAGAACGACGATGGACATTTTTCCTTTTTTTTTCGTTTGTTTTTGAAAGTTTTAGCTCTGAGTTCTGTGAGTTTTAAACGTCCATTAGCCTGCCATGTGGTGCGCGCTAGCTCCTTTGTCTGCCTTCAGTCTGCGCTTCGTGAAACCAGTGGCATAGAAGAGTAACGGTGACTGTTTTTGTTCTGTTTTAGACTCGTGTCCATTTGGATAAAAAGGCGAAGAAAAGCCAAGCTTCAGTTCGTAGCAGCCCTGTAGAGCTCTTATGGCATTTCTTTTGAGACTTTTCTTTCAGACTTTTGTTGGACTCCGTGGTCTTAATTGCTACTTTAGTCCTATTTTACATTTCCCATTGCCGATTATAAATATTTGAAAAGAGTAGGGGAGAGTTAAAGTTATACAAAAGACAGAAAGTTTATCTAAATCTAACATGCTGTTATGGAGTTGTGCTTTAGATTCAGTATTCTAGAGGGGTTTTTTGTTTGGTATATATCTTTTTTAATTTTCAAACTGTATGATGCCCAAATGATGAAGAGACACTGTGTAAACAAAATGTCAGTGATTATTTTATTGCAACCTATGGATTGCCAAAGAGCTGTGTTATGTGCTCAGTGGGTCTGAACAAGTGTTAAAGGAGGCAGGATGGATTTAGAGTGATGGATAATTAAGTTAATCCAGAACCCTTAATCCCGAGGAAAGTAAATCCTGCTCAAAAGAAAGTAATATGGCGACTGAAGGAGGGAAAGAATCATACCGTTGACTTCTTCTTTTTTTTTTTTTTTTTGGACACACAATCGAGCCTTAAGCAAACTACAGTATACGCTGTATCGGAGGACAGCCATTAAGGAGGGCCAGTGCTGCTGAAGAGACTGACGACCTGAACTGGACATACATTTACAGAACACACTCATATCTACACACTTCTGTGTTTGTGGGGGATCATGACTTAATGCATCCTTAGCCCCCCTCAATAACCAAGGCCATACCATGAGCAACCATTTAACCATTTCCACTTTGTGCATGACAAATTTAACTGGCGGTCTGTACAAAACTGTGCTTTATTTTAAAATTTAATATGCACGGCTTACAGTCAGGTGCGTTCTATAGGCCGTCAATTACGGTAATTACATCCACAAAGATGAAGAAAAAACACAAAACAAAAAAGACGGTGATGTTTACTTGCAGGCAGAAACCCCAAATGGTTCGTTTTCTTTTCAAATTAACTAATTAAAGAGGTGAAAATCACCATAAACAACCTATCAGAATATTTGATTGGCTTGATAAAATAAATGTTTGCATTACAAACAAATATTAGGTTTAAACTTGTTATTATTGTTGGCAGAATGTGAATGTAACACGTGTTGTTGATGCTGATCCCTTCAGAGGGGCTCGTCACCGGTTGCCCTTTCTGATGCAATCTGGACTTGAACCTGCAGCTTCATGATTATGAGGCCACGGTGCTGACCACCAATCCACCGAAGCCCACCCTAAAAAAAATAACTTACTGATTAAAAAGTAAAATTAATAATGATATTGAACCAATTTTCCTCAGAGGTATTTTATTTTTCTTTAAGAATGAAGTCTTGCTGCAGTTTCAGTGCAGCAAAAGACAAGTTCACATAATTTATTTTATATATATATATATATAT